TTGCTAACACAATGACATGCTTTAAAGGTTCTGTCAAACAACAGAGCGGACTTAAAAAAAAAAAAGCTATACTAAATAAATCCTTGTGAGAGATGCCAAATCAGGGTATCTTGAAGGATATCTTTTTTTAAATTGCAGCAATAGTGGCAATATTAGATAAGGAATAAAATCCTAAACTTTTACTATACCTAAAAATAAGTAAGTCATTTATTCTAGAGGAAAAGAAATTAGGATGCTCTTCAGAAGGAGGATAACAGTATTCATGCAATCCATTTTCTTTCAAGAAACAAAGTTTAAAACTTATTTCCTTGATTACAGGTTATAAATATAAAACATCAGGAACTCCCTGCTGGTCCAGTGGCTAAGACTCCACGCTCCCAATGCAGGGCATCCAGGTTCGAGCCCCAGTCAGGGAACTAGATCCTACATGCCACAACTAAGATCTGGTGCTGCCAAATAAATAAACATGTTTTAAAAATCAGCATACCCCTTATTTTCTGTTATTAACTATAACTGTTTAGCTTTGGGCTTCTGACATGAACAAAATAAATTATAGTACCATTTATAGATATGCAGAAGAATGAACAGGTTTAGGGTGTAGAGACCAGAAATTCACTTTTGAAACATGTTAAGTTTGAGGGTTCTAAGAGATACCCAAGGAGAGATTCTAGAAAGGCATTTGGGTATGTGAAGGTGGGGCTACAGATGTAGGAATGAGTGTATGACAGCAATAGTATAGGAGTTAAGGACATGGCTTCTGACCTGGACTGCCCGGCTTGGAATCCCAGCTCTGTTACTTAGTAGCCACTGGTCTTAGGTAACATTTGTTAGCTACTGGTCTTAACAGTTATCTAACTCTGTGCCTCAGTTTCTTTATATCAAAAATGGAACAATAAGTAGGCTGATGTGAGAATTAAGTAAATGAACATATATTTAAAATGTCTAACTGTGCTCACTAAGTGCTTTATAAGTTATGACTATTATTCTTCTCATCAGTAACTGTTACAGATGATAGTTAGTCTTTGGGGGGATACAGAGTCTAAGAGAAAAAAGAGGAGACCCCGAGTTATTTTCAAATATCTTTTGATACTGATTTTTAACATAATTCCAGAGAACTCTGAATCCAGAGTTCTCTGCATGATTTCAGTACCTTTAGACCATGAAATTTTTGCACTTGTTTTATGTCTCTGGATATACTGGATATATCCATATACTGGATACACTCCAGTGTCTCCCAGTTTATCCTGCTGCTGTGTGAAAACTGCATAAATCTTAATTATGTTGAATTGGATCATGGTGATTTTCAGGTATACTATATCTTTCTACTTTTCTGTACATCCACTCTATTAATTTTTGAGAGTTTGATATTGAAACTGCAACTAAAAATCTTAATTTATCTACTTAAAAGAATAATTGCAATATATAGTGGAACTATATGTAACTTTATTCTGTATTTCCCAAGTCTCCTATAAATGTATCATATTTTCATACTTTAAAAAGTAAAAAAGGAAGAGAAAAAAAAGAGGAAACCCCAAACTCAAGCCTTAATGAACCCCAATATTAGAAGTCAGGATGGTAACAAAAGGAATTAAAATGCTCCCTCCCTGTGAGGATGGAAAAGACACACCAGGAGGCTGTCATGGGAAACACAGAAGGAAGGCGGCCAAGAGGGCCTAAATCCTTGGTGACCCCGACTTTCATCCAGCCAGTGGTGGAGTGGAGTGGTGATAGTATGCTATACCATCATTTGTACATTTATTTTTTTAAAGGATGGATATTGATATGCTTGTATATGCATACTTATTTCTAGAAGGAATCACAAAGAATGAGTAAAAATTATAAGGGTGGGGCGGAGGGGTAGGAAGGAACCTTTTTCACTGTACACCACTTTCATTTTTTTAATGTTTATATTTTACCTCTTTAAAAGTAATTGGTTCATTAAAAAGCATAAAATACTACATATTGTTATGGACACACGTCTATAAAGTCAAATATATAAAACCCACATGTATAGGCAGGACACACACCAAATTCATCAGTGTTTGTGCCTCGAGTGGGAGGGGAGAGGAGAGATCTTGCAAAGCTTTAATTCTTAGAAAATTATCTTAAGCCAATACAACAAAACATTAACACTTGTTAATGATGGTAGCATGTACACTGATTATTCACTAACACTTTAAATTTTGTTCAAAGGATCAAGATTAAAATTTAAGAAATCTCTCTCACAGATACTACTACACAGCAGTCAGAACTGCTAAAATTAAAAAGACAACAATAACAAAGGTTGGAGAGAATGCAGGGCAACTGGAACTCTGATACCATGTTGAAAAGACTACAAAATCATATAACCACTTTCGAAAATGGTCTGGCAGTTTCTTATAAACCTAAATAAACATGTATCCCCATCAGCCAACAATCTACTCACAGGTATTAATCCAAGAGAAATGAATACATTCCATAGAAACACTTGTACTAGAATATTTATAGAAGCCGCTTTATTCACAAAAGCCAAAAAGCAGAAATAGCCAGACGTCCATCACTAAAAGAGTAGATAAACTGATGGGGCTTCCTAGGTGTCATAGTGGTAAAGAATTCACCTGCAATGCAGGAGACTCAGCAGATATGGATTCGATCCCTGGGTCAGGAAGATCCCCTGGAGAAGGAAATGGCAATCTACTCCAGTATTCTCGCCTGGGAAATCCCATGGATAGAGGAGCCTGGAGGCTACAGTCCATGAAGTCACAAAGAGCTGGACATGACTGAGCGACTAACACTTTGACTTCCACTTATGAGCATTATATTAAATTTCTGGGACCATCATAGAAGACACCATCCCTAAAATAAGCAAATAATGCATGTATTTCTCATTTACAACTATGAGACCATAACTGCATGTAAGACAGGCTTCCAGGAACAACCCAGTGCCTCTTCTATGCCCCACTCTAACCCAGCTCACTGTGCTCTCAGAGGAGACGGCGGCATTCTGCTGCACCCATAGAAAGGCTGAGTGGACATCTCAAGGGGGATGGAAGCCCCCGTGCACGTGGACACTGCCCTCCTCTTTCTTCCTTTTCTAAGGGGCCACACAGCAGCCCCCTACCCTCTCCCAGCTGGCGAGACAGGCCCGAGAAAAGTACAGATTTGTTCTCTCTCAGAGAGGCTCTACTTCTTGCTCAGGTGCTACTAAGTAAGCATCAGGTCAGCGATCTCAAAGGGTCAGAGCCAAGGTCAGGTTTAACTTGGGAAAAGCCATCTGTGCTTCAGCTTTTAGTGAGCAAACAGAATCCAGAGCTCAGCCTAATTTACTGGACCACTGCAAGGAGGTCACAGTCAAAGCTCCAGTCCGAGTAAGGCTTTCCTTCAGCTCCCACCTGACCAGCTTTGCTATAGGATCTTGTGTCTGTCTCCACGCGTACATGGGCATCCACCATTCATGGGCAACAAAAGGAGGGGTGGCAGCTACACAGAGTGGATGTCCTAATCCCAGGACCCACTAACAGCATCCTAACATCAGAGATCTTAAATACACACCACTTATCTCTGTCGCCACCTAACTATAAACAGGGGGCTTCCCAGGCGGCTCAGCAGTAAAGAATCTGCCTGCCAATGCAGGAGACTTGGGTTCGATCCCTGGGTCAGGAAGATCCCCTGGAGGAGGAAATGGCAACCCACTCCAGTATTCTTGCCTGGAACACTCCATGAGAGGAGCCTGGTGGGCTACAGGCCTGGGGCAGCAGAGTCAGACATGACACATAGCATACAGCATAACAGCTATAAATAGGGCACACCTTTCTCAGCTGAAAGATACAGATTGATCTACTTCATGCTTTCTAATGCTGCTGAGTTTAAACAGGGGTTTATGAGCATCTTGGCCCAGTGATTACTAAAGCAGATGTAGTAAGACCCAGGACCTCAGGCTGCATTATCTTCCTTTTACCAGAGCACCTCAATGCTGCAGTACTGAGCGAGGGCATAAAGACCTCACGAGAGGTTTGGGTATCTGTCCTTTTCTGACAGTCCATATTTCCTGTATATGTGCATTGCTGTTGTGGTTGTTGAGTCGCCGGTTGTGTCTGACTCTTTGTGATCCCATGGACTGAGCACGCTAGGCTTCTCTGTCCCTCACCATCTCCCAAAGTTTGCCCAAGTTCACGTCCATCGCATCAGTGATGCCATCAAGCCATCTCATTCTCTGACACTCTCTTCTCCTTCTGTCCTCAATCTTTCCCAGCATCAGGGACTTTTCCAATGACACAAACCAGGGGCTTCCCTGGTAGCTCAGCTGGTAAAGAATCCGCCTGCAATGCAGGAGACCTGGGTTCGATCCCTGGGTCAGGAAGATGCCCTGGACAAGGGCTAGGCTTACTACTCCAGTATTCTTGGGCTTTCCTGGTGGCTCAGACAGTAAAGAATCCACCGGCAACGCAAAAGACCTGGGTTCAATCCCTGGGTCTGGAAGATCCCCTGAAGGGAACGGCTGGCTACCCATGCCAGTATTCTTCCCTGGAGAATTCCATGAACAGAGGAGTCTGGCAGGCCCATGTGCATTGTTACAACAGGCCAAAAAGTGACCTCGTCCATCTGCATTTGGAACACAGGATGCCAAAAAAGCACAGTTTATCAGATTTTTTTCTTTTTCCTCTTAAACTTACTTTTTAAAAATTGGAGTTTAGTTGCTTCATAATTTGTCAGTTTTGGTGGTACAGCCAAGGAGTCAGCTCTCTCCATATATTAAATAAAATGTATATACATGTACATACACCCTTGTTGTGGGGTTCTCTTCCCATTTTAGTCTCCACAGAGCAGTGAGCAGAGTCCCCTGTGATGTATGGCCAGCTCGCCTTAGTTATCAGATTTTGGTTTACTTAATGAATTGAATGATTACATGTTTTTCATGCTCCAGTTTTCTGTTTATGATACAGAAAAATATACAGGAAAATAATGACAAAAGAGGAATTTTAGAGTTATTGAATTACTGAATTGCTATTTTCATCACTTACCTCATTTGAAGGGATCGTGGCAAAGGGCATGATGATGGCAGCCAACGGGATCTGAGCTTGCTTGGCCATCTCTGATGTGCAGGGCAAGCAGTACGTGGTGCAGCGGATGTACCGGGGGCTGGCATTGCCTGAAACAGTCAACAACGCAGACTTAAAACCTGCCCTGTGTAAAACATTTATAAAGGCACGTCTAGGTAATGCATTGCCTTATTTGTAAAGCTTCATGGTTTCCAAAAAATAAAAAGGAGCACTGTATAATTTTATGACCTATGCTCTAGGCATATTATAGTTTCTGTAAAATAAGACACTAAATACTGCTGCAAAAATGTAAACGATTTTAAATTATTTTCCATAAGCAGGGTATTAATACAGCCACTCAGAGATTCAAGAGGTATTTAGATTCAATGGGAAAAGTAAAGCAAAGACACAAAACAAGAATAAAATTTCTTCTTCATCCTCTCCTATCAATACATCTGTTATGAGAAAGGTAAGCATTTGTATACCATTTCATACCAGCTAGTTATACTGTGTCAAATAGAATTCCATTTGACCATGTTTTCCTCCTTAACTTATAATTCAACTTAGAAATTAAAATTCTATTTATAATAGAAAAAAATTTTTAAAAACACCCGAATCTATTTTTAAAATACACCAAGTTTCCTGACCAAATATTTTTTTCATACATGCATGAGTATTAAAACAATATCCATGGAAATGGTACTGACGAACTTATTTGCAGGGCAGGAATAGAGACACACAGGAAACAGATGTGTGGACACAGTGAGGGAAGGAGAGGGTGGAGCAAATTCAGAGAGTAGCACTGGAACATATACATCAGTATATGTATACATACAGGATACATACAGTGTATACTGTATACATATACACTAGATAGCTAGGGGAAAGTTGCCGTGTCACACAGGGAGCTCAACCCAGTGCTCTGGGGAAACCTGGGGGGCGGGATGGGGGAGTGGGAGGGAGGTTCCAGAGAGAGGGTACATGCATACTTATGGCTGATACACGTTGTTGTGTGGCAGAAATCAGCACAGCATTGTAAAGCAATTATCCTCCAATTAAAAATAAATTTAAAAAAACCAATATCCGTGGCATGAATATTTTAAAATTATTAGAATAACTTATCTAAAATAAACTTAACAATTAAATCATAATATATTTTGGCAAAAGAACATAATTATCAAATGAATGTGTATTTATTGTCTGCTAATTCTACTGTCCTAGGTGCTTCCTTGTAGAGTTTATGTTCTTGCAGAGGACATGGACAATAATAGACCTAAGAAACTCCAATAAATTACACAGGAGTTTAGAAGATGACAAATGTTATGGGAAAAAAGCACCTCTGGGGGAGGTGGAGGGGTACCGCAGTGAGAAAAGACTGCAATTTTAAACAGTTATAGGATTGGTCTTCAAAAGGCATCATTTGAGCAAAGGCTGCCAAGTGGGAAGGGATCTGCCCGCAGGTGTCTGGGGACAGCGTGAGCCTGGGCTGGTGGAGGAACGTCAGGAGTCCTATGAGGCTGGGATGAGGCGGCTGGGGCAGCTGGCAAGGAATTCAGGGACGGCACAGAGCCCAAATCAGCTCGATGCAGGTGACCCCAAAGCTTTTGGCCTGAGGGATCAGAAGCGTGGAGTTGCCATGAACTGACCAGAGAAAGGCTGCGGGAAGGGAAGGGGTTTTTATTGAGCCCGTGGCTGAAAATCGGGCACCTGGCTCTAGGCATGTCCATCTGGAAAATCTATTAGGGGATCAAGCAGTGACGCTGAGTAAGCGATCAGACACACGCGTCTTGGCTCTGGGATGAAAGCTGAGATGGAGAAACATGTTTGGGAGTTCTGGGCCTATAAACAAGTATTCGGAGCCAGGAAACTAGATTAAAAACCACAAAGTGGCCAGAGAAGAGCTGCGTGAGGACTGAGCCCTGAGTCCTCTGACATAAAGAAGCCAGGAGACACGGAGAAACCAGCAGAAGGACCAAGAAGTGTAAAAACGAGGGCGTCTGGGGGTGCTGGAGGGGAAGAAAGTCCATCAGGGAAGAGGCAGGACTGTCTGTGCAGGCGCCGACGCCAGGTCAGCATGACCGCTGGGGGCAGCGGGGCTGGAGAGCCGGCAGAGACTTTTGGGGGAACGGTGGGGTGAGGAGGAGGAGGGCAGGGAGGCCGTGCACAGAGTTTAGGAGAGAGAGGCAGGTGATGAGTACGCAATAATCCTTCCAAGGGTTTTTCATATATTTACTTTAATTGGCAGATGATTGCTTTACAATACTGTGATGATCTCTGCCACAGGAACCCATGTGTGCTCCCTCCCACCTCCCTCCCCACCGCCACCCCCAGACTGTCAGGAGCACCAGCTTTGCGTGCCCCCCATCACGCAGCAAACCCACGCTGCTTAGCCACTGTACCTGCGGTGATGCATACGCTTAAACGCTATTCTCTCAGATCCCACCCTCTCCCTCTCCCACCGAGTCCAGAAGTCTGTTCTTCACGTCTGTGTCTCCTTTGCTGCCCAGCACAGAGGAGCACCCAAGAGCAAAGAAAGAGGGGAGCTGGTAAAGGAAGTGGATCGAGAAAACATTGTTTAAGATAGGAGAAGGCCTTGTAAAAGACGGGAGTCACTATGTAGAAAGAGAAATCTTAATGACGTGCGAGAGAGGGGGGAGACGGCGTAGCAGTACACTTGAGTGGTACACAGTAGATTTCAGCTGCAGCACGTTTATGGCCAAGAGTAGGAAGGCAGAGCACAAGGCCCTATGATGAATGGGGGCTGATGTGATGGTGAGGATCCACGGAAGTTCTCTTCTGATTGTGTCCTGTTCTCAGAAGGGAGGACGTAACAGCCAGCTGAAAGGAAAGGATGAGTGGTCACTCTGCCGGGCCTGCAGCCTCTCAACCCTTCTTTGGCCTTTCTCGGGCCTTTCTCTGGCCATGCCTCACTGCACAGGTGGGTCGAGAATGAGGGAAAGGCTGAACCTGAGAAGCTGAGCTTCCTTTCATATTTAATCTATTATTTACACATTTTACGGTTTGGGGGGGCCAGACGGAAATCTTGATTTTTACATAAAATTTTTGATTTTTATATAATGGCAACTAATTCAAAAAGAAATAAATTATTCTGTATAACAAATTAACACGTTTGTAGGCTGAATCCAGTTTGGGGGCCCCACTGCAGAGAGTGTGATAAAGGGGAAAAATGTGGTACTAGCAACAAGGATAATAACAATCAATGCCAATGGATTAGGCATCATTCTAAGACTGCTACATGTAAATTCATTCTAGTCTCACAATTGCCTGTGAGACGGATACCCTACAATCCCATTTTACAGAGGAGTAAACTGAGACACTGGGAGGTTAAGTGACTTACCAAAGTCAAAGGGTTAGAAGTGGCAAAAGTGATATTAGAACCTATCACAGTCTCTCCGACATTCCAGACAAGTTGGGTCCAGGTCATGAAGCCGTGAATTTGGACAAGAGTTAAGACCAATCCTGTTTTCCCCTGGGCAATGATGGGACATTTCTTAGCAATGTGTGTGTGTGTGCTCAGCTGTGTCCTGCTCTTTGCAACCCCACAGTCTGCAGCCTGTCAGGTTCCTCTGTCCATAGGATTTCCCAGGCAAGAATACTGGAGTGGGTTGCCATTTCCTCCTCTAGGGGATCTTCCTGACCCAGGGATCCAACATGCGTCTCCTGTGATTCCTGCATTGGCAGGTGGATTCTTTACCACTGAGCCACCCATATGATCAAATAAATACCTGAAGAAAATTATTCAGAATGTACTAGATAGCTTCTGGGGGCAGGAAGAAAGATCAGAGACAGGTAGAGTCCAAGTGAATACTGACATAGGGTAAAACAAGAGTTCTGACATCAGGAATAGAAGAAAAAGAAATATTAGGCAATAAATATAAACATGCTTGAACCCTTATTATTGTATATTTCATATAACTTAGATAAAACCTTCCTCCTCATCATCACACAATGTTACACATAGCGGGAAATAAGAATTTTTGAATATTTTAAAGTGTGTTTTAATTTTTCATTGTACTCAACTTTCACTAGCTAACATTTCCAATAATACATTGAAATTGAGCATTTGTTATCTTCATAAATCTTATTTTTGTAGGTCCATGGCTGATTCATGTCAATGTATGGCAAAAACCACTACAATATTGTAAAGTAATTAGCCTCCAACTAATAAAAATAAATTTAAAAAAAAGAAAAAAAATCTTATTTTTTACAATGAAATATGCACATGAACAAGTTCATGAAGGTGACTAAACAAACTTGTTACAAGAAGCTAATGCACACAAAGAATAAATTTTTAGAAAAGCAATGAAGAATTTATTTCTTAAGCAGGTATGCAAAAGTGGGGCATGAAAGGTATATTTATAGAAGATAATTTAGCAACCTTGGTAATTAAGATCCAAATCCCTTGATATGCTTAATAAAGAAACTTATGGGATAAACTGACTAAAAAACATTCAGTAATTTATTCATTCAGCAAATATTTATGAAGCTAATCCCCAAGTTAGAGGCTTAGAGGCAGGAGAGTGAAGCCTCTGGCTTTAAGGTCTGGTAGAAGAGAATGATGATAAAGCAGATAATTGGGGGCGTCCCTGCTGACTCGGTGGTAAAGAACCCACCTGCCAATGCAGGAGACACAGGTTCAGCCCCTGATCCGGGAAGACCCCACGTGCCACAGAGCAGCTGAGCTCGTGTGCCACAACTGCGGAGCCTGTCCGCTAGAGCCCACGAGCTGCGGCTGCCGAGTCCACCTGCCCCAGGGCCTGTAGTGAGCGGCCATGCAGTGAGCAGGTCACAGTGAGCGGCCACACACAGTGAGCGGGCCACTCAGTGAGCGGGCCACGCAGTGAGTGGCCACGCAGTGAGCGGCCATGCAGTGAGCAGGCCACAGTGAGCGGCCACACAGTGAGCGGGCCACTCAGTGAGCGGCCACACAGTGAGCAGGCTGCAGTGAGCAGGCCACGCAGTGAGCGGGCCACACAGTGGGCGGGCCACACAGTGGGCGGGCCATGCAGTGAGCAGGCCACGCAGTGAGCGGGCCACGCAGTGAGCGGGCCACGCAGTGAATGGGCCACACAGTGAGCAGGCCACGCAG